GGGGGGGGAGATTCCTGCACAGGGTCTAAAAGTTAATGGATGTGCCAGTTCGGTGCCCACGGGGGGAAACAGTTTTTTCATTTTCAAAGAAGTTTGCGATTAAGAGACTACAAAAGGAACGCGTTTGAGCATTTGAACCTACAACTCAGTGTCATATCACTAATTCCACAGCTGAAGTAAACAGTGGGTCTTTTATTTGACAATTCAAGATAAAAAAAAGTATATTCCCAGTCAATACTTCCACGTGTTGTAAGTTTCCAGTAACTCTGCTGCAGCTCTTTAAATCAGTCACCGAGGAATTTTCGTTTCGTGCTAGTTATAAATCATTTTATTACAGCTAAGGTATTTTAACTAAATATTTCCATTCTTCCTTATTACTTGATCCTATTTTTGCAGCCCTAATTCATTCCAATTCCTAAAAAGAAACGGTCATTTATTTTATTTGGAGCTTTAAACTAATGCATAATTTCCAAATACATCCTAACCTCATATGTAAACTTTTGTTGCGATGAAAGGAGTGTCAATTTTGTAACTTAAAGACAGCCATCGAAGAGAAACAGCGTTCATACTAAAATCGTGGTCAAAGATAGTAAGAAAGCATACGTATCCTACCTCATAATGCAAGTAATGTCGCCTTAGATCGAAAATCAGCTTAAATTAGCGCTGCATCACAACGCCAGACTACAACATCTTAATCTTTGGAAAAAGTGTGCGGCTTCTTTTACTGTTTCTACAGCCAAAGCAAACAGCAATAGAAATGCAGGCGATGAAGACTAGTAGAATTTCTAATCATTTATGGATGGGGTAAATTTTTATGAAGGCGGTGCATACTCCTCATTTAATTTACGAACATATTTTCTCGATTTTCCACGTCTACATACACAAAATATACTGCATTTGCATCGTCCATACAATGGTTCCAATCGCAAACCCACCTGTGCAATCAGTAAGATAACTTGTACAAATTAAACTCAGTCGATCAACTCAATTGGTGGAAGTGACACCAATATATCTTTTTTTATTTACAAATGAGGGCCTGAGGTTGATTAATGCTGTTTGGTCCTCTATCTTTTACCAAAAAAAAAACGGATCATAGTATTTCAAAAAGCAATTTGAATTGTTCGCAATGACGTATAATTCAAGCATGTTACTAAAAACTAAATTTTGTAGTTTTATTCGTTTATTGAAATGCCAATCTCGTTAAGAAATTATTTTTATTTTGTTTACTCAAAGGTTACTACTTGACCCTGCAACAGTTTTTTCAATAAATAGTCTAGACATTGTCGAAAGTAAAAGCGCCGGCGAATTTATCGAAGACGAGGCAGAGGTCCTGACGAAGACTGAATATTTCCGATGAGAGAGTCTCTCATTGGTTTGATATTATTCGTAGAACTGAACAGCCGAAGGAGAAGGGTGAAAGACATTTATAACAAGATGAAGATCGTGAAAATTTGTACAGGAAAGAGGATCAGGTTTTTGTTACTGATTACTGGTTTTGCGGCTATCGTCACAATGAAGATATGCCCGTGGATTTCTACCACTAAACAGCAACCAACCATGCACCGAACATTTTTAAAAACTCGAACAAGATGCCCTCAGAAATTTTCGCTTTTGATCTTGGTTCTTTCCAGTCCGTTGAATTTTCAACAGCGACGAGTGATTCGTCAAACTTGGGGGACAGATTATGCCATGGAAAAAACTTGGAAGACCATGTTTCTTTTGGGGCAAGCGAAACACCCAACGGAGGCGAAATACTTGTCTGAGGAGGCAGTCATTTACGGTGACCTCATTCAAGGGCTACAAATAGACTCGTATTCCAATTTAACCCTAAAAACTGAAATGGGCTTAGAGTGGGCAGTAAAATATTGTGATTTTGATTTTCTTCTAAAAGCAGATGACGACGTTTTCGTGGACACTTACAAACTGGTGGATTATTTAAGGAAACCACACACTCCTAAAAGACAGTTATACCTGGGGAATGTCGCGCGAGGACTGAAGACAAAAAGAGAAGGAAAATGGGCTTTATCCCTCCAAGAACACCAAAGCGATGTTCTTCCAAAATTTTGTCTTGGTCCTGGGTATGTGTTATCAAAAGACGTTGTCGGCCGATTTGTGGAAATATTTGATGTCAAGAAACCTTTAAAACTGGAGGATGTGTACATGGGAATGTTGGCAGAAAGACTTGGTGTGATCCCCAGGAATCATTCAGGATTTCAAACGTACATTGAAGAGAAACATTGCATATACAATACTGAGTTGATTGTTGTACACGAAGTGTCGCCGTATTGTCTTATGAAACTGTTTACCAAAGCTTTAGAGGAAAGATTTCGTCAAGTTGGTAAAGGTATATAGAGTAACTTGCCTCAGTGATGATTGTATTGATTGAAGGCAAGATGGTGTCAGTAAAAATCTAGGTTGAATCCTGGGTGTACTGTGCGACTCAACTATGCTAGTGTTTGAGTTTATCAGACGAATGGGTATTCTCAAGGTTCAAGGTTCATTTATTTCACACTATTTACATAAAATTAACAAAGATAGAAAAGTAAAATTGCAACAAATGCTTACAGAATAAAATAAATACAGTACAGATTTTAAAAATGTGTGTGGTGGTCAAAGTGGCGAAGGCTTTCTAGTTGGCCACCTGACGACATCTTCCCATATTAGCTAGCGAAATGATGAACAAACGTGCCCTTGTTTGATTTTTATGTTGCTATCTTTTTGTCTGACCTAACTGATGGCTGTGGTGCTGACTGAATCACTAAGAAATAGACTGAATCGCTGAAAATATGTTTGGATTAAAGATTGAGACTGGCTGGTTCACCGGTGAGATGGCTGGCCATTCCCCCCTGTAATTGGCTGATTGGCTAGCTTACTGACTGATTCGTTTGCTAGATAACTTACTCGCAGTTTCCGGCTGGCTGTCTCTCTCTGGCTGATGGACAGCTAGAGAGAGACAGCCAGCCAGCTTGCAGTCTAACAAGCTGAGTGGCTGGTTGGCCACCTTTTGACCTGCCCAACTGATTGGTGAGCGGTGAGACTAAATAGCAAAAGACTGGCCAACTCACAAGCTGACCCTCTGACGCTGGCTGGCCCTCTAACGCTTAATTAACCAACTTATTGGGTGACTGTTGGACTGCCCAATGGCCGGCTAACAGACCAGCGCTCCTACTGCTATAATTCCAGCTTAAATTTACAAACCAAACGCCACTTCTCCCAACCTCGTTCCCACGACCTTTTCCCTTATCCTCCATTCAATAAGACTAGCACATATCTGCAAAACGAGACGACTCAGTAATAAATCACTCAATTCTAAGAAGATTTAAACCTTTGAAATAAAACATCTACGTGCCAATTCGAATTTTCCGGCCTTAAACCCGGAGCTGCCGAGGCCGGTGTTTGGCACCAGGAAACAGTAATAAAANACTGAAGCTATGCCAGGCAAGAATGGTCATCGAGTGTTCATTTGGTCGGCTGAAAGCTCGTTTTGGAGCACTAAGAAGGGCTATGGACATAAACCTAGATGATCTCCCCTATGTAATTTATGCATGTTTTATACTACATAACTTTTGTGAACACAACAATGAAACAATCAATGAAGACAAAGTCTCTGCAGCAATTGACTATGATAGAGAGTTCCAGCCTCCACCTCAAGCTAATAACTTCAGGACTGACTGTAATGAAGTTGAGGGCAAACGAGTCAGAAACATGCTCACCAGGTTCTTTGATCCATAATAAGTTGTGACACAATGAACAAATAAATAATGAAACAATCAGTGAAGACAAAACCTCTGCAGCAATTGACTATGATAAAGAGTTCCAGCCTCCACCTCAAGCTGATAACTTCAGGACTGACTGTACATGAAGTTGAGGGCAAATGACTCAGAAACATGCTCACCAGGTTCTTTGATCCATAATAAGTTGTGACACAATGAACAAATAAATAGCCATGCAGAGTACATACAACCACACTCAGTCAAAGTGTGTTAATGATAATTATTTTAATTAATGCTTGAAATATACACAACTGTATGGTAATTACTTTTTCATGGAGTATTTATTTCACTTTTGCTCAATTAATTTCAATGTTAATGAAACAACATGTAAATGATACTGTAAAGAGATCGATTATATTCTTATTGTCAATAGACCATTATATTGTTGTATTCCAATCTTTTATTTTGGTCATTATAAAACTGCAATATTTTACAATCATGCACAAGAACATTAACAAGAATTGATAAATATATTTTTGCATTGTTATCAGTTTATATAATAACATCTTGCATCGACATTT